TAACATAAACGAACTTAAACAATTTTATCGATCATCACGTGATCGAGAAAAATTTGTTGGCGATACTGGGGAAGATACGTAACGATATATTTGTCACGTGATGTTCGAAACTGGCGCTAATCTATCCCCTGTATAACGATAAGTTATCACTAAAGTGCATTTACTGATCTTTTTTCATTTTTTCTATTAATCATGGATGGGCATATCGTCGATGTGCACGCACACCTGTATCCTTCTTCCTTTCCGACTACGCCTATCGAACAAATTCTAATTCGTGCGAAGTCCGCGAACGTATCTTCAATTGTCACCGTTCCAGAAATACTAGAGGATGCTCAAAGCATTTTTGAATTGAAAAATGACTTAACATTATCAAGCTCACTTAGAGATATGATCGAGCCGTGCGCGGGCTTGCATCCCGCGCCGCAGGGCGCCATGAGTTTAGTTAAAGTGGATCAAGCAGATAGCATTATTCAGTTTATAAAAGATAAATCATCAGATTTGGTTGGCATTGGTGAAGGTAAAATTATATAATTTTGATTTTGCGTTCTCATATTTTATTAATCTATACTTTTCTTCATAGTTGGCTTGGATTTTACTCCACGCATCCTAAATAGTGCTATTGATGCTTATCCAGATTTAAAATTGAGCGATGATGAACTTAAAAATGTGCAGCGTACTATTTTGGCGCGTCACATAGATTTATCTCTTCAATTTGATCTTCCTCTCAACGTTCATTCTCGTTCTGCAGGACACCATACTTTGAATTGTTTGCGAGATTATGGTGCAAGAAAAGTTGTAATGCACGCATTTGATGGTCGAATACAGTACGCAAACAAAGGTGTTGAAATGGGGTTTGTTAATCATTAAAGTTACAATGCTACGTGGTTTCTCTTTTTTTTTGTTTTTTTTTGATTATTAATTATAAATTCGTAAATCGTTACGATATTAAGGTTCTTTTTCTCGATGCCACCTTCAATAGTTCGTTCCCCTCAAAGACAAAAGTTGGCGGCTGCTATTCCTTTATCAAATCTACTACTTGAAACTGACTCACCAGCTCTTGGACCTGAACAGGGCGTTGACAACGAGCCAGACAGCGTGGTAATAAGTGCTAAAGAAATAGCTAGAATAAAAAATATAGATGTTGCTGATGTGGTAATTGATTAATTTGTTCTTACTATTCTATTTACATTCAATTCGTTTTATTGAAATATATTAAATTATAATTTATAGATTCGGCAAACTACTGAAAATGCGTACAAACTGTTTCCGAGAATCAAAAAGAAGTCTTAATGACACTATAAATTATAATACGACAGGGTGAAACCTGAGTTGCGAAATAGTGAAATCCGCTATGATCATCATACAAGGGTGAAATCCGCTTTTATATAATAAAAAACATAATAAAACGCGGATTTCACCCTAACCCGTTCTACAAAGCGGATTTCACTATTTCGCAACTCAGGTTTCACCCTGTTCTATTATAATTCTCTACTTTTGAAGGACATCTGAAGTGGAGATAACTCATATAAATTAATATTTTAGGGCTAGGGTAACTTTAGATTAGGGCCAAGTATGTTTATATTAGCAAATTAGCCTTCCCAACATTTTCATTAATATCTCAAAGCAGGTTTAGACTGCCGTTTCTTCCTTTTTTTTACTTTTTTCTCTATTCGGTTGTCACGTGATTATCTCCGCGATGACCCCTACTTTTGGGAGTCCGTAGATTCTAGCAACCGCAAACGCCCTTCCAGTAAGGAACCTGACACGCCCAAATAATTTTTGCATGCCACTTAGCAAATAGTATGCCATAATGCCACTCTGGCATGTCATTAGTTAAAAAATTTTATACGTATAATAAACAAAAATTTTTTTCTATACTATTTTTAACAATTTGAGCATGCGCAAAACGCTCCAAAATAAAAAAAGGGGCTAGTTTTTATACCCCTATATTTATTAATCATACCCCCCTAACAAATCAAAGATATCTCTTCAATTACCTAATCAAATTCGATAAAAATTTTTTTATTTTGATTTTGAGTCAGGATTCAAATAAAAAAAATTTATCAAATTTGGTCAAGTGATTGCCGGGATATCTTCGCTCAAAGTTAAAAAAAAAAAAACTCAAAACGCCTACCAAAATAATTAAATTTCTTTAAAACTTTGAGCGAAGATATCTCAACAATCACCTGACCAAATTTGATATATATATATATATCTAAAATAAAGAAGCTGCGCCAAATTTTTTTAAAATTTTGAGCGAAGATATCTCGACTACCATGATCAAATGTGATGAATTTTTTTTTTATTTTGATTCCCTGAGTCTAGAGGATTCAAATAAAAAAAATTTATCAAATTTGGTCAGGTTATTGTTGAAATATCTTCGCTCAAAGTTTTAAGGATGGAATGAATAAGAAATATAGGGGGTATAAAAACTAGCCCCCTAAAAAAAAAATGGTTCTTATATTACGCCTAATTGATGATTTGAAATTTGCCAATCAAGAAAAACAAGTGACAGCCTGACGTTAGTTAAAAGGCCTCTTACCCCAAAATTTTGCAAGGAGTTTTTTGTCAGGGCAGTTTTCGTTTTATCGGATCCTACACCCTGATTGGTCGATCTGGAGGTAATGATGTACGTTAGATGTGTCAGGTTCGATAATATTAAAAAAAGAAAGGTGATAAAAACTAATAACAATAAATAGCGAAGAAATCTATGAAAGGTAAGGACTCGTTTTGATATTATGGAACGACTTACTAACTCAGTCTTTCGTTTTAATCGTAAATCTCGTCTGGTTTTAACTTTCATGAAGGTTTCGCCAAGTTTCCCCCTCCATCTGCAATTTTAAGTTTTGTCTTTCATCAAAGAGTTCTGGGGTTTCGTCAAGGTTTCGCCTTTCGTTCTTCGCCGCCTTTAGGTTTCGTCTTTCGTCACTACACAGAAAATGTTTCACCTAACAGTTATATGGGGTGCCTCGTATTAAAAAGGCCCATTTTGACATATAGTTTATTTTGAGATAATTGAGTTTAAACGTTT